CCCCCTGTATATTACACGACACTCAGCGCAAAACTCGCCCCGCTCTTGTGGATTCTCGCACGAGTGGAGAATCGGCTCAAAAAAGTGAAAAAGTCGCACAGTGTACGCCCGGCTCAACCGCTGAGCTGAGACTCTGAGGTGTTAGAAGAAGCTGCATTGACAGGAAATTTTGGAAACATTTTTCCCATGTTTATGATTCTTTAGGAAAAGTCAGTCTAACGGCTCGGCAGCACAGAGGAAGAAAACAAAATCAGTTCTTTCTTTTTGCTAAGAAGCAGCAGCTAAACTTGTCTTTTAGGCTCTCCAAGAGAAAACGACTGAAGATGTGTGATTATTGTTCATCTGTTTAAGCTGGTTTCTGCTGGAAATCAGCTATTTGTATCAAAGAAACTCATTTATAGGAACACATAAATAAACTTTAGCCCGTCTTAAGCTGTAAACAACGTTCTGGCGGAGGGAGGTGAAAATATTTGGGAGGACATCTGCCTATCCCTGGAAACAAGAGCAGCTCTTATCAGGAACCCCACGCTTTGGGTCCTCCAGAGTGTAATGTGGAGCGCGCCCAAACCACATTCCTCAGTCCAGATGGCTTTGTTCAGGCTCCATGGAAACCTCACACAAAAATCCACAGACAAGCTGCCATAAGCACCGAGGAGGAGGAGAGGCTCGCTCAGCTGCAGACATGTTTATAAACCTGCTGCTGTTTCTAACCTTACCTGCCATCTTTACATCTCTGCTTCAATGCCGGGGAGCTGGGAGTGAATCTGGGTCTGATCAGATCGGTCATTCCCACTCCTGGCTTCAGCCTCGGCTGTGAGCAGTAAAAGACCCTGTAGGGAGTCCTGCTTCTCCCCACGTCGCCCTTTAAATCTTCAATGTTGCGTTCAACCTGGAGATGAACCGCAGAAGTAGAACGAGCAGCAAAAACAACATCAAAGAATCTGCTTTAAGATGCAACGTCACAGAAAAATGAGACACGTCTGTTATTAGATCTGGTGACTGGGGAGGCCGCTGGAGTCCAGTGAACTCATGGCCATGTTCTTGAAACCAGTTGGAGATGATCTGAGCTTTGTGACATGGTGCATGATGCTGCTGGAAGTAGCATCAGAAGATGGGTCAGCAACAAGACTCTGGTAGGATGTGGTGTTAAAACCAGGTTCAGGTGCTACTGAGTGGTCCAGAACACCACCAGCAGCATCAGCAGACCAGACCTATCTGGTCCCAACAGCTACATCAAAGTAATCTCCATCCTGATACTCCATTTGAACCTCAGCAGGTCTATCTCACTACACCATGCTTCCATCTGAGAGTTGACCAAACGTAGCTAGAGGTGGGCGCTTCTCTGTTCCAGCAGCGCCTACAAACACAGCTAAACGAAGCCTTTAATGGATGTGTTTGCATTTCTCACTAAGGTTATAATCACCGACTGGAAGTGTGCAGACACCAGGACACAGATTACTGCTCAGGTTAAACAAACGGAGCTGATGGGAGATCAGATCACACGAAAACCTCCTGCAACTGCAGACCATCACAAAACCTCTCATTGCGTCTCTTCATGTGTTAAGCTGCAGGCTGCCCAGTCATCACGCTGGAGAACTTTACCAAAATAAAAGCCTCTTTTCAGGAAAATGCCTTTAAAAATCAAACATTATTTCCAACTTCTGCCAAGCGAGTAAAACCTGTTTCCTGTTGATAAATGACCCTGGAGGGAGGAAAAGTAGCAGCTAAAAAGTCAGATAAGTTAAAAAGGACAAACGTCAGAGAAAGACTTCCGACATAAAAAACAGCTTCAGGACAACGTTGGAGGTGAGGAACGGAACCTGATCCGAGAGCAACCGTCTGACAACATCTGCATAAAGGACTTTGACTTTCCTGGTGGTGTGTGTGTCTGTTTCCTTGGTCCAATGCCAGAAAACTAAACACAGCAGTTTCATTAGACTGAGGAAGATGAAGTGAACCTCGGCGAGAAGATCGATATGTAAACATGTCAGACCCTCGCATGTCGGCAGTGAGACATTATGGGATGTTATCTCTCACCCTGGCTGCAGAAGAAGCACAAACAGCAGCTCGACCCGGTCGGGTCAAGTCAGGTCAGGGGCTTTGATAAACCGACTGGTTTGAGCCTGTTCCGTCAGTGACGTCGGGTCAGGAGAGGATGTTCCTGAACGTCAGCGGGTTAACTTTGTAGATCGATATAATCAAGGAAGATGAACTTTTTGTCCTATAAAGTTGTAAGGTCCTTTATGATTCAAGGAGAAGGAACTTTATTCAGAGTGAAAGTGCAGAAAGCCTCGTCTTCCAGCACCTATTATGGCTCCCTTGTTGTGTTGCAAGGTCGTAGATCCGTGCGTTTCTAGTTTGGATGCCAGACAGATGGATGTGTGACGCAGTTTGTGTCTGGAAATTAAAAGTGTAGTATTAAGGAGTGGTTACATATTTATCAACATGATCAATAAGATGTGGTAATTCCTGATTGATCTTTGAATATTTAATCAGAAGATTATAGTTACTTATTCAGGGACCATAAACACACACATTAATTCAGACGGTCAGGTATATCGTTTATAAAAATGAATTTTTTTCTATTTCCCTAAACTAATGATTATACATGACAAGATATGAATAATGAGATGTAATGTAATGGATATGAAGGGATTTACTGTGATGTGTGGAATGATGGAATGTGAGCTAGATGTTTTAGCAAAACCTTTCTTAAGTATCTGAGAGAGTTTGTGGAGACTGGGTTGTAAAATAATTTGGCTGTATGAAACCATCCAGTGCAATCTTTACCAAGTCTACGCACCCTTTCTGTGGAGATTCTCATGCGATCCAGGGGGTCAAGAGGTCGTGATGGACACTACACTGATACCTCTCGGTATCAGGAACCAGTAGATAAGCTAAGATAGGACCCGTCTAGTCTGAGATCTCTCCAGGTCGCGACCAAAAGCTGCTTGTTTGCGTCTAAGGCTGTTTGTTGGCTCGTAGAAGAGCCGTTGTGTCTGATATCAGCCGCAGCGTTGCAGCGAGGCTTTGACTTGAGGTCAAAAGAGAAGACGATTTCAAAAGGCTTTTCCCCCCCATTGGGCCGAGTTGGGAGTCAGCTGGAAACTGAATTAATCGGGATGTGATTCCTGTTTTATTAAAACACATTGTTGATAAATTAGGCAAATCAGAATTTGAGACGTTTGAGGGCTTTACCAAAATATATCTCAAAAGTCACTAAGATACAAAGATGTTAACTCTTTGTGTGAATGAGAATGTTTTAAAACTTATGTGAAGTGAATGTTAAACATTAATAATTATCTTGTTATAATGTGTATGAGTATAGATATTGATTAAAGCACTGATTTTTCAAACATTTGATTACACATCTTGTTCATTCAACACATTTGATTATTTCAACTTATAAGTTGTAAAGTCACGAAGGAACTTTGAGGAGTTTGACCTTTATTCATAGTGAGGAATGCAGGAGTCTCGCATGAGGCCTTGAGCAAAGACGTTATGGCTTCTTTGGCTAGTAACAAGAACTGGGGCAGAACTTTCTGGATTTGGAGGTCAGACAGAGGGTGTGTTTGTGTCTGCAAATGAAAGCTTACTTTCTGGCCAATTTGTTACTGAAAACTTGACCACTGGTACGTTACTTAAGTTTATTTCTGGTCATTTTTTATGTAAAATACCAGCCTTTTGGTACACTACACAGGTCATGGTAATCCAATAGTGTTCAAATGAAGCCAACTGGACTTCTTTGGATTCTTGAAGGTGTTTCTTTTCTCATCCAAGGGCCTTTGGCAATTCTGACTATAAAAGGGGAGAGTCAAGCTTATCTATTGTTATTTAAAGAGCAGAAACTCTCCATAGCAGCTTCAGACCCATCTCTCTCCATCCGTTCATAGCCGTTGCGCTAGAATTTCAGGTGTGGCACAGCACCATGCCTGATACTTTGTAGGGGAAACACTGCCATCTCCTAGGGTTGGGCATCGAGCATCGATTGGAACCGGTTCCAACAGTTCATTTTTCCCAGAATCGTTCAAAGATTTTTATTCCGATTCCTAGTTTCGATTCCTAGAATGCCGACCGGAAGAGGAATCAATGGCCAATCTCCGTGAAAAATAAACTTGATCTGCAAATTGTGATCAACGCTTTTCAGAGCTGATCACACCAGCTGTCTGTGTGCAGCACGAGTCCCCCCCCCCCCCCCCACGAAGTTGAGATCATCTCATCAAGTAGGGCCCGTGGTTTGCTAGATCATGTAAAACATGTCATGTCTGAAAGAATCAGAATCGATAGGAACCGGAATCGAAACAAGGAATTGGAATCGGAATCGTTCAAAATCAAACGATGCCCAACCCTGTCTTCAACTGAGTCTAGTGGGCAGACCAGACCCGAGCTAGCTTTCTCTCCTAACTAAATGGTATATGGCCTGTATTTGATAGAGCGCCTTCAAGAGTCCTGAAACCCCCCAAGGCGCTTTACAACACAACCAGTCATTCACCCATTCACACGCTGGTGGGCTGAGCTACGATGTAGCCACAGCTGCCCTGGGGCGCACTGACAGAGGCGAGGCTGTCGAGCACTGGTGCCACCGGTCCCTCTGACCACCACCAGCAGGTAAGGTGGGTTAAGTGTTTTGCCCAAGGACACAAAAGCAGCGACAGACTGAGCGGGGCTCGAACCGGCAACCTTCCGATTACGGGGCGAGCACTTAACTCCTGTGCCATTACCTGAAATTGATGTTTTCTCATAAGCTGTGTGACCTTTTTGACGCGTGTGGAAAAAGCAACTCGGTCACATGGTGGACTTGGTTCTGAGTTAGACTCACCAGTCATGAGCCTGTTAAGACAGCCATGACACAATAGGACACATGGACAATGTCCCGTTATAAAGCCTCAAATGCAAAGTGACAAGTGCACATCTATGTTAGAGTTTTGACTTTCGAAATGGTAAAATCACGTATAAAAAGCAGATGTCATCATCTTTGTGTCGGTTTTATTGTCTTACAGAGAGGAAGTTCGGGAGCACTGTGTCCGCTGGAGGAAAAGGTTTAGCTTTGTGTCCAAAATGAGCGCCAACCCCCACACGGGAGTCCTGGATCCATCCGTCTGCAGAGTGTCAGTCAGGAAGGTAGGAGAAGTTCCCCCCCAAAGTTGGTTTTGTTATTACTCATTAGCCATGTTTCCACTACCAGAACTTCAAGGTAGATTTACGGGAACCTCCTGAAATGCGCCTTTCTCCACCTGACCAGGCTGGCCAAACGGCCGTTTTCAGGAACATTCTGAACACCATGGGGCAGGTACTCCGAACGGCCTGGTGAAGGAGCTGAGCTGAACTCACACTGATTTGTTGTAACTCAGTAGAAAATAAAATCCGTAAATATTGTCCACACAACCGGCATTAGTAAAATTAGAAGAGTTGTATAAGCAGCTATCGCGTTTCATATCCAAGTCCTGACACCGGAAAACATGGCAAAATTCCCCCACAGCTGTTGCTAAACTCCAGACTCTGGGAAAAAAACGCAGAAATTCCCCCACAGATCTAATTAGCGGGTCTTTGTTGTCTCGCGGAGCGTCGTAAAAAACGCCGCTTCATCTGGTCATTGAACGCCACATCTTAGATTACACAGCCACTCTCGTCCTCGGAAGGGACCAACTGATTTACTTCGATACAACAAACGTTTGTGTCTCCGTTAAAACATGTTTGAACATTTCAGAAAACTGATTCAGGATCTGTTTCAGCGGATTGTTGTCGTTAACCTTTGGACTGAATTAAGCAAACAATGTTGAAAAAGTAAGGAAAGGATATGATCATTTTTACAGTCGCGGAGTGAACGGCGCTGTGCGCCTCCGCTCTGATGTTGCTCAAGTTTAATAGTTTTCCTACAGCTTCGCAACTTCTTCACAAGGCAAAAAAGTTAAACGTAGGCAGGGATCGCGTTAACTAGATGTTTCCATATTTGTTTTCTGAGAAAATCTAGAGGCTGTTGGTGCTTTTGACGGACTGGAATTACCCCGACGCGTGCAGGTGTGCAGACATTTCAAACGCACAGAGAACATGGTGGAGGTAACAAAATTAATCCAAAAGATTCCCATCAGAACATCTGAGCATTACCTCAGACCTGGACACCGTGATCAGGCCCTCTAGCAGGGAGCACTACTTGGACTAACTGTCAGATTTTCCTGGAATCGCTCAAATATTTAAATTTAGATTTGAAACGTTAGCTAAGTCCCTCCTTCCTTTTTGTTTAGAGAGGAGAAAAACTGGCCATCCCCACAGCCAGCTGGATATGAAATATCTCTCGATATAACCTTCCTCCCGAAGTGACATTTGGGATTTTCTCACTGTAAAATTCCCACTATATTCCTACATCTGACCGGTTCACGACAGACCGTTGATCGTCTCCTCCATCCGTCCATCTGGTTCTGAGTTGATTGGATCTGTGTCATCAGCATGAGTTACAAGTGCATTCATGTCTTCCTGTTTTCCCTGCAGGAGCTCAAAGGAGGAAAAGCGTACACAAAGGTAAGCAGTGGTCTCTTCCTCTTGGCCTCATATCGATAAACACAGAACGTGTTATAGGTGAGCTTGTGTCACATAAACACCATAACATGTGCTGGCATTTCTCTTCAGCCAGCAGCCTTCCAGCTGGATTTAAACCAGAGCGTTCCCCGGTCGGGAATTCCTTTCTGACCGTAACTGATGAGTCACGCCTCACGAATCTGAGGTCAAACTCCTCATGAACACTAATTTAGTCTGATCTGTGGACGCTGTCGCCCGACAGGAACCACTTCCTCTGTTTTTACCCGTTCTCCATTTAGATTTCCTTGAGTTGATTTTATGCCACTTCCCTCCTTAGAAGTTGGTTTCCTTAAATGCACACCTATATAAACGAAAACTCCTCTGAGGAAAAGGGGAACCTGGAAGATCTTCGGGTTAAAAATAACATCCAGAGTGTGTTTGACACAAAAGGCCATTTCCACCCGGTGAGGAAGCTTCGGGTTAAACGCCCGTAGCCGAGAGTCTTATCCGTGTTGTTTAAGGCTGCTCTGGAATTCAGACACTCCTGACCTGCACTTCAGAGGTGGGGGGAGTTTGGAAAAAGCAGCGTCACATTCCTGGTTCAAATGACCCTGACAGGAGAGAATTTATAGAAACGAAGCATCACCAGTTCTCATGTGGGTCACAATAAATCAGAGTTAAAAGGCGTTTGTAGCCTGGTAAGGCCGACTAAATGAATATATAACTTAGTCTGGCAACGCTCCATCGACGGCTCTCGGTCGTGGGGCGGGTTCTACCGTTGTCTTTCAAACGATCTCCGCATGCTACTGGACAATGAACAACGTGACGTACTCACTGCAACGGATGTGGGAGGAAACGGTCCGCTGTTGAAGCAGACAGAAGTACATCCTTATTCTAAATAAAGATCTTAAACACATCTATCTGCTCCTGATTCTAATAAATCCCAAGTACTAATACTCCAAAACTGATGGAAAAGCTGTTTTAAATGAGCTGTCGCCATCTTGTTCAACTCCGTCGCATCAACCCGCCCACCAAACGAATAGAGCACTGCGATTGGCCCATCATTGTGGACCATTCACAGTACCGTTATCAGTTTGCCTCTGTCAGAGCGCCCCAGGGTAGCTGTAGCTACGTCGTAGCTCACCCACCCATCTCTAAACTTCCGTTTCGTCTCCAAGATCTTGGAAAAGGTTGTGGCTAAACAGCTCACAGCTGCTCTTGATGACATTTATGATTGCTTACAGTCAGGTTTTCACAGAGCTCATTCTACTGTGTAAAGAATGAGTCTTTTACATCTTACTTTATGAACCATAAAATGTGAGATTCCATAGAAATATGAAATATCAATCTGGTGGATCTTTGACTAGTTTAACCAGAAGATCTGAACTTTTTATAGCAGGGATTAAGCGACACTTCGTATTAACTCCAAGGAAAGAGAGAGAGCCAGGTTTAAAATGGTTAAGAAATTTATTTCTACACAATTTAAACAAGACTAACTTTAACACTCTGTGTACCGATGGACTGAGGTTGAGTGAGGCGTGATGAATGATGATGTGTGTGGAATGTTATTCAGAACCAGCGGATCCGGAGAAGCAGTTAGTTCTGAGTGGGAGTCAATGTTTCGCTCTAAACTTTAGTAGGAGATTTATAACACACATGAAACGCCTTCTGTCGGTCTACATACCCAGGGGAAGCCTCCAATCAGATCCAGAATGCTGCGGTCCTCGTGGACCCTCTTTTGTACCGAAGCCGGTAGAAAAGCAGCGGTGCCGACGTGCAGACGCTTTTCAATTCAATTCAAGTTTATTTATATAGCGTCAAATCACGACAAGAGTCGTCTCAAGGCACTTCACATAATAAACATTCCAATTCAGGTCAGTTCATTAAGCCAATCAGAAATAATGTTTCCTATATAAGGAACCCAGCAGGTTGCATCAAGTCACTGACTAGTGTCAGTGACTTTACAGCAATCCTCATACTAAGCAAGCATAAAGCGACAGTGGAGAGGAAAACTCCCTTTTAACAGGAAGAAACCTCCAGAGAATCCTGGCTCAGTATAAGCAGCCATCCTCCACGACTCACTGGGGATGGAGAAGACAGAGCAGACACACACACACACGCACACACACACACACACACACACGCACACACACACACACACACGCACACACACACACACACGCACACACACACACACACACACACACACACACACACACACGCACACACACACACACACACACACGTACTCACACATGCTCAGTATAAGCAGCCATCCTCCACGACTCACTGGAGATGGAGAAGACAGAGCAGACACACACACACGCACACACACACACACACACGCACACACACGTACTCACACATGCTCAGTATAAGCAGCCATCCACCATGACTCACTGGATATCAAGAAGACAGAGCAGGCGCACGCACACACACGCACGCGCACACACACACACACACACACACACACACACACATGGTTGTAAAGCACCTTGGAGGGGGGGGGGGGTCCAGTACTCTAGAAGGCTCTTTATCAAACACAGGCCATTTACCATTTTTACAGGCTATTTGAAACCCCTCTAGAATTCTGCTAGGGGCTGCGGAGGTTCCAGTGGAGCGTTCCTAGACCAAACTTTGCAAAGCAAGAATTTGGTCTGGTTCAGGCTAGGGTGTTTGTGCTTGAGCAGGAAATCTGAGTGTGATCAGGCTTCAAAACTGTGAAATGTTTGGAAATGAGAATTAATATTTAGATGCTGTCCAAAAAGACTCATGTTCAAAGATATATATATATATATATATATATATATATATATAACTGCTATCCTTAAAGGATTTGGTCTGAGATCAAACCTCCAGAGACTTGTTGATGTTTTCTAACCAGTCATTTGAAACAGCCTCCCAGTAGGTGGTCCAATCGCGTCTCTTCTCCATTACCAGAACTCTCCTCTAAAATGGTCCGGAGCGACCTGTTTAAAAGCAGCCATGTGGTTTTTGCACCCTGTCATATTCTAAAAGATGAAAGGGTGAGGCTGCTCTAAATGCTGGGAATCACTGGAGACTCTTTTTCTCCATGTGAGCCTAAAGTAAAAAAGGCCTCCAGAATTAACCCGCTGCTCTTCACCCTCAGCTGGGCTTCACTGACCTCAACATGGCGGAGTTTGCTGGTTCTGGCTCCACCGTCCGCTGTTGTCTGCTGGAAGGTTACGACACCAAAAACACCCGGCAGGACAACTCCATCCTGAAGGTAAGGAGACATATTTATGTGTGTTTGTGTGTTTATGTATTAGCAGAGGCTTTTGTCCAAAGAGACTTACAGGTGATAATGAAGCAGCAGGCTGCCCTTGAGACTAACTACAAACACTGAACCTAGGTGGCAGTGAGGCAGCATGATGAATCCTAGAGGGAAGTGAACATGGAGTGGACAGTAGAGAGGGGGACGGGTGCTGGGAGGGTGCTAGTTTAGAAGATGTTCTCTGAAGAGCACGGTCTTTAGGAGTTTCCTGAAAATCAACAAGGAAGCCGCTGTTCTGGTAGTGCTTGGTAGGTCATTCCACATCTGTGGAACGATACGTGAAGAGCCTGGATTGTCCTGAGCGTGGTGTAGGTACGGCTAGCCGATGATCCATTGCTGACCGGAGCGGCCGGGCCGAGACGTAAGCCTTTGCAAGAGGATTCAGGTAGATGGGAGCCGTACCATCCAGGACTTTGTATGCTAGTGTTAGCTATTTGAATTTGATGCTTGCAGCTAGCGGTAGCCAGTGGAGTTCAATAACCAGAGGGGTGATATGTGCTCTTTTAGGATGATTGAAGACCAGACGTGCTGCTGCATTCTGGACCATTTGAAGAGGTCTGATGGTCCAGGCTGGAAGACCAGTTAGAGGGGCGTTGCAGTAATCGAGGCGGGAGATGACAGTAGATTGCATCAGGAGCTGGGTGGCATGTTGTGTTATCAGAGCGGGAAGGAGCAGAGCAACCTCATCGACCCTTTTCTCTGGTTGGTGTCAGCCAGAGAGGTTTTCTAAAACCTGGGCCAAGACTCTGAAAACAGAGCAGACTCTTTAGTTGGAGGTGTTTTTGGTTTAATGCTTCACCTCTGATGACAACAGGCAGAAGCAGCTGGAACTCTGTAATATCTTAATGTCTGAAGCTGGCCCCTGTTTACCAGTATAGTTAAATCAGAGGGGTCTAGCTATGGCAATTATAAATTCTGTAATTAGGTGTTTTTGAGCTTTGGTGGATATTTCCCTCGGTTAAGAGACAATTCATCTCAGTTTGACCAAATAAATACATCCACACGTTTGTTTTACAAAAGTTAACAGATGATTATTATTAAACATCATCTGTGTGGAAATCTTCTGCAGCACTTTGCTGTTTGCTGAGGAGCTCGAGAGCGCCCCCAACAGACCACCAGCTCTGCTGGAGCTCAGAGCCAACCAACAGTCACGTGCAATTGAACTGGAAGACTTCACTTTAGTTTTTTCCAGCTGCAGCTCAGATGTCGGTGAGCTAACGGGGCATATTCAGGTGTTTTGTTTGGAAAAACGATGCAGAGACGGAGGAAAGCTGCTGTTTCACAGCAATAAAAATAAACAGTGGTTTTGAACGTGACCCTAACTTTTCACTAACAGCGGTTTTTTATTCCTCCCTGAAGGTGATCATCGGGATGACTCTCCTCTCTGGAGATCCGTGTTTTAAAACGTAAGTTCTCCTGAGGGGGGCGAAACAACGTCCCTCCCAAGTTTATCTTTGTTTTATTGATGGACTGGTTTCATCATTGCTGAGCCTTTTGTTGCCACGGTGACTCATTCCTTCCTGAGTCGTATCCCAGCCAAGCTAAACACAACCAGACCAGTTCCAGGCTGATAAATCCTGTTTGTCTTTTTCCTCACAGACCTCCAAGTACAGCAAAGTCCATCTCCGTCCCGGGCCAGGAGCACACCCTGCAGCTGGACTGTAAGGGGGAGGGTACCGCCGAGGGCCCCGGGCCAGCTGGAGGAGTTTCTCTGGGCCGAGCCCCGAAGTCTCGGCCGTCCATCATCAGCTCATGTACGAGTCCAGGTCCGGCAGCTTCGAGTTTAGAGTTCAGAGCAGAAACAGCTGGTTATTTATCATCTTAGTTAATTAAATAATGGTTACCATACTTTCCGAAGTATAAGTCGCACCAGCCATAAAATGTATAATGAAGAAGAAAAAAACATGTATAAGTCACATTTTGGGGGGAAATTTTATTATTTTTCTTACAAAATCTGAGACCAAGCGTTTCACATTGCAAGACAAGTACCGGTAACAATAACAGAATAAACAGGGTGCAGCAGCGCGCCATGGTCTCCAGCAGGTGATGGCGGTGTTTGAAACCCTCCCAGCGGGACAGGGGAGCTAGTTCCTGGGCCGGAGCCGGCCCGCAGCAGCGCGTTATACATGATTTGGTATATAAGTCACTTTGGTATATAAGTCACTTTGGTATATAAGTCGCAGGACCAAGCAGGCTACGAAAAGAAGTGTGACTTATAGTCCGAAAAATACAGTATTTATCTTAGATAAGTAAATAATGGTTATCATCTTAGATAATTAAATAATGGTTATTTATCATAATAGTTAATAAAATAATGGTTATTTATGATCTTAGTTAATTAAATAACGTTATTTGTCATAATAGTTGATTAAATAACAATTATTTATCACAATAGTTAATTAAATAACATTATTTGTCATAATAGTTAATTAAATAATGTTATTTATCTTAATAGTTGATTAAATAACGTTATTAATCCTATTAGTTAAATAAATAGCGGTTATTTATCCTGTTAGTAAGATAAATAATGGTTATCACAAAATTGATTAAATAACGGTTTAGGCAAGGCAGCCTTATTTTTATAGCACGTTTCAAACAACGGCTATTAGAGAGAGAACACAGTAAATCACACAAAGAAATGTAGACATGAATTTCAGAGTCAACAAACACATAAAAGGTTAAGTTAAAGGGTGAGCAGCTACAGCGCAGAAGGTGAAGCATAAGAACATTTATGCAAAGGCTGTTGAAAACAGGAAGGTTTTTCATTTTGATGATACAGGATCAAAAACTGTGGTTTGCATTGAAGTCAATGGGACGTTTTTGTCCATAACAGGCACAAGAGGGTGGTAAATTTTAAATCTGCTGCTATACAAAAACTAAAAAAAGCATAAAATGTGATATTTTGCCAGACTCTAGACATGTCCCAGGCTGATTTAAAAAATAAAGAAGATCTTAATGGACGTAAAAACAAAGAGTCTGAGTACCCGGCCCAGAGGGTTACCGGGGTCCCACCCTGGAGCCAGGCCTAGGGTTGGGGCCCATGAGCGAGCGCCTGGTGGCCAGGCCTTCGCCCATGAGGCCCAGCCCGAACCAGATACATGGGCTCATCCAACTGTGGACCCACCACCCGCAGGAGGAACATGAAGGGTCCGGTGCAGTGTGGATCGGGTGGCCTTGGCGGTCCGATCCCCGGACAAGGAAACTGGTTTTTGGGACATGGAACGTCACCTCGCTGTCGGGGAAGGAGCAGGTGCTTGTGGCAGAGGTTGAGCGGTACCGGCTAGATATAGTCAGACTCACCTCGACACATAGCGTTGGCTCTGGAACCCAAGTCCTTGAGAGGGGTTGGACACTCTCCTTTGCTGGAGTTGCCCCGGGTGAGAGGCGGAGGGCTGGGGTTGGCTTTTTGTTAGCCCCAAGACTCTCTGCCTGTGTGTTGGGGTTTACCCCGGGGGACGAGAGGGTAGCTTCCCTGCGCCTTCGGGTTGGGGAACGGGTCCTGACTGTTTGTGCTTATGCGCCAAATATCAGTTCAGATTACCCACCCTTTTTGGAGTCCCTGGGACGAGTGCTAGATAGTGCTCCATCAGGGGGCTCCATTGTCCTGCTGGGGAACTTCAATGCTCACGTGGGCAATGACAGCATGACCTGGAGGGGTGTGATTGGGAGGAACGGCCCGCCTGATCTGAACTCGAGTGGTGTTTCGTTATTGGACTTCTGTGCAAGCCGCAGTTTGGCCATAACGAACACCACGTTCGAACATAAGGATGCCCATCGGTACACTTGGTACCAGGGCAGCCTAGGTCGCAGGTCGATGATAGACTTTGTAGTCGTATCATCTGACCTGCGGCCGTATGTTTTGGACACCCGAGTGAAGAGAGGAGCAGAGCTGTCAACTGATCACCACCTGGTGGTGAGTTGGATCAGATGGCAGGGGAAGATGCCGTGGAGACCTGGCAGACCCAAACACATAGTGAGGGTCTGCTGGGAACGCTTGACAGAAGAACCTGTCAAGACGGTCTTCAACTCCCACCTCTGGCAGAGCTTTGACTGTGTACCGAGAGCAGTGGGAGACATCGACTCCGAGTGGGCCTTGTTCCACTCTGCGATTGTTGAGGCGGCTGTTGCTAGCAATGGTCGCAAGGTGGCCGGTGCCAGTCATGGTGGCAACCCCCGTACCCGCTGGTGGACACCAGAGGTTCAGGCAGCCGTCAGGCTGAAGAAGGAGGCCTACAGGGCGTGGCTGGTCTGTGGATCTCCAGAGGCAGCAGACGGGTACCGGATAGCCGAGGGGGGTGCAGCAGTAGTAGTTGCCGAGTTAAAATCTTGGGCGTGGGAGGAGTTTGGTGAGGCCATGGAGAAAGATTATCGATCAGTGCCAAAGAGGTTCTGGCAAACTGTCCGGCGCCTCAGGAGAGGGAGGCAGCAACTCGCGCACACTGTTTACAGTGGGGATGGGGAGCTGCTGACGTCAACTGGGGCTATAGTCGGGCGGTGTAAGGAATACTTTGAGGAGCTCCTCAATCCCACCTACGCGCATTCCGAGGAGGAGCCAGAGCCGGGAGACCTGGGGATGGACTGTCCAATCTCTGGGGCAGAAGTTGCTGAGGTAGTCAAACAACCACACAGCGGCGGAGCCCCGGGGGCGGATGAGATTCGTCCTGGGCATCTCAAGGCTATAGATGTGGTAGGGCTATCGTGGTTGACACGTCTCTGCAACATTGCGTGGTCACCGGGGGCAGTTCCTGTGGAGTGGCAGACCGGGGTGGTGGTCCCCATCTTTAAGAAGGGTGACCGGAGGATGTGTTGCAACTATAGGGGGATCACACTCCTCAGCCTCCCTGGAAAGGTCTACTCCAAGGTACTGGAGAGGAGGGTCCGATCGATAGTTGAATCTCAGATTGAGGAGGAGCAATGTGGTTTTCGTCCTGGCTGTGGGACTGTGGACCAGCTCTATACCCTTGCAAGGGTGATGGAGGGGGCATGGGAGTTTGTCCAACCAATCCACATGTGTTTTGTAGATTTGGAAAAGGCTTATGACCGTGTCCCCAGGGGCACCCTGTGGGGGACGCTCCAGGAGTATGAGGTGGGTGGCCTTTTGTTAAGGGCCATTCAGTCCCTTTACCGGAAGAGCGTGAGTTTGGTCCGCATAGCCGGTAGTAAGTCGGACTCTGCCAGGGCTGCCCTTTGTCACCGGTTCTGTTCATAACCTTTATGGACAGAATTTCTAGGCGCAGCCGTGGTGTGGAGTGTGTCGAGTTTGGTGGCAGGAGAGTCTCGTCTCTGCTTTTTGCGGATGATGTGGTCCTCCTGGCTTCATCCAGCTCTGATCTTCAGCTCTTGCTGGGTAGGTTAGCGGCCGAGTGTGAAGCGGCTGGGATGAGGATCAGCACCTCCAAATCTGAGACCATGGTTCTCGACCGGGAAAGGTTGGCTTGCCAACTCCGGGTCGGGAGAGAGGTCCTACCTCAAGTGGAGGAGTTTAAGTATCTCGGGGTCTTGTTCACGAGTGAGGGTAGGAGGGATCGGGAGATCGACAGGCGGATTGGTTCGGCGTCTGCAGTGATGCGGACACTGAGCCGATCTGTCGTGGTGAAGAGGGAGCTGAGTCAGAAAGCCAGGCTCTCGATTTACCGGTTGATCTACGTCCCAATCCTCACCTATGGTAATGAGCTTTGGGTATTGACCGAAAGAACGAGATCGCGAATACAAGCGGCCGACATGAGCAAAAAAAGTATTTTTTTTTTAGAAAATAACTCGGTTTTAGTTTATTTATTTATTCATAAATTACATCAATGAATTTGAGAATTCAAACTGGCATTTCAAGGGTTAAAAGCCTTTAAATGATACAATTTTTTTATGGTTGAGCAGGGCTGAAGTTGTCCAACAGATCTATGAAAAAAAAAGCAAAAAATATATTGTTATGTATACACTTTTTTTATCCACCTTTACAAGCGGACATTTTTGTCCTCTAATGACTCTTTTGTATGAAAATTAAAGTGAACCCTGAGGGCTAGAAGGTGCTATATCAAATACAGGCCATTTACCATGTATACTGAAAGGATCCAACATGTATTCTGGCCCCATGCCATTGAGATATTTATTAACTAGTAGAAGTATTTTGAAACTGATCCTGTAGTTTACTGGTAACCAGTGTACGGATCTAAGAACAGGAGTGATGGGCTCGGTTTTCCTGGTTCTTGTTAAGACTCAAGCAGCAGCTTTCTGAACAAGCTGCAGTTGCTTCACAGCTTTTTGGGAAGACAAGTTAGGAGACCATTGCAGTAGTCCAGCCTGCTGGAGATGAACACATGAATGAGTTTCTCTGGGTCTTGTCTGGACATGAGACTTCTGAGTCGTGCTGTTTGATGATAAAACGTTGATCTAGTTCTAGCTTTAATGTAACCAGTGAAGCTCAGGTCAGAATCAGTTATGACACCAAGACTTCTAACCTGGGTCTTTGTCTCCGTTCCTCTGGAGCCGGGCTGAGCAGTAACCTCCATCCTGTCCTTCTGATTCCTAAAGACGATATTATAATATATGTCTCAAACATGAATATTACTCAGTAGATGCAGCATGAAATACCTGAAAGCAGGTGTTTGTTTATGACTGGTTTTATCTATTTAATCATTTAAATAATTTGATCATATACATAAAAAGACTGTTCGGGGTCGTAAGCTTGTTCCTGGTTTAAAACAAAAAAGTGAAAAAGGTGAGAAACTAAAAGTGGATTTAAAGTTTTTCTGACTGGTGATCTGGTTCAAAACCTCTGAAACTCATTCTATAGCTTATAGATTTAGTTCTTCTGTAAAAGGAAACACACAGGTCTGTAACCGTCCTGGCGCCTGCAGGTCTCCTGGAGGAATCGGAGGCCAGTCAGAACCAGTCGGGTCCCGCTGATGCTTTCCAGACGGGACATTCTCGTAATTCCAGCTACGCCAGCCAGCACAGCAAAATCTCAGGTACCAGTCTCTCCACGGTCGTGCGATCCCTGATGACCTTTGGGACCAGGGTTAGTGTTGGAGCTGATTATATGATGTCATTTCCTGTCTGCCGCCATCCTGCAGGCTACAGCACAGAGCACTCCTGCTCTTCCAGCCTGTCGGACCTCACGCATCGCAGGAACACCTCCACAGGAAGCAGCACCTCCGGAGTCCTGTGCTTCACTTCTGATGCACCATTAGAGGGAGACAAGGACGCTGGACGCCCAGAAAGACCCCCTCGTCCTCCACGGCCCGTCCTGCCCCCAAACAGACCCACCAGGTATGGACACGGGCCGGTTTGGCTGCTTCAACTCTTCCTGAGCAAACACACGTCCTGCAGGCAGAGAAATGAAAATGTTGACTTGTTTCAGGAGGAAGCAGGACGCCATGGAGAGCCACCCCTCCTGGGTCAACGACACTCGCATCGACGCCGACGACATCGTGGAGAAAATTGTCCAGAGTCAGAACTTTGCTGACATCAACAACACTGAAGGTAGATGGATGAGACCACGTGGTCAGCGAGCTCAGGAGGGATTTCAACCATCAGAACACCACCTCTTCCACTGAGAAGGATTCATTTTAGATTAGTTTGGTCTTGTTGGAAAGGAAAAAGGGACAGGATGGATCTTTTCTGGGTGGAAAACGTATTTAATGCAGCTGGAGATTAAAGTCTGGCATCACTATTAATCATCCGCTATTAAAAATGTTCATTCATGCTTATTTATGCTGAATCTAATTCATTTGACTATAAAAGTAAACTTTTATAAAGCATATTTTTTCAAAAAGCAACAAAACGTTATTTTAATGCTGTTTAGTCACATGACCAATTCTATTTATTTACTGATGAGCGGCAGGGGGCGCTGTTTGTGTTTCAGACAGTAACCTGCGACTGTTCGTCAGCAGAGACGGAACCACGGCGCTCAGCGGCATCAGGCTGGGAAACAGGTGAGATGACATCACATCCTGTGTCCGTGTCACTTCCTCCCATCTAAATCAGTCTCCCACTTCCTCCGTGATTTACATGCTGCTCTTTAGTTTCCTGCTTTTTAGAGAACTGAGCTTCAGTTTTAGCTCATCTAGACATTCGTACATACCTGCAAACTTATGTTTTCTCTACCCAAAGATGGCGTCCACGTCAATCGTGTGTGTGTGTGTGTGTGGTTTCAGTCACTCTTTATGATGATCAACCCGAGAGGAGAAGGGTCATCTTGTTCACAAGCACCTTGTTGCAGCGTGTCATGTGTTATCAGTTGTGGAGGCACCAATGCCAAAAACGACACTTAGAACGTCTGACTACTGTAGCCTCAACAGCGGCTCTGAGCTCAACATTGGTCTAATCAAACAAAATGAGCAGAAACATGGTTTTCTGTCAAGGATGTTAGCAGCTTTAGCTCCTTTCAGCCCTCATAGATGTGGTTTTCTTCTTGGAGTTTAACATAAACACTGTATTTAACCGTGTTGAAGTGGCCTCTAGGGCTGCAACTAACCATTAATGGGATCATCAATGAATCAGATGGGGCCTTGATTTGATTAATCTGATTAAACGGGAAAATTTTTTATTAAATCAAACTTTATTTATAAATCGCCTATGGTTTTTTGGGTTGGTGTTTTTGTAAATAGGGATGTGACATAGACATAGTAGTTAACAGAGTCAGACAGGACAAGACTTTACACAAAAGAAGAAACCTCACAGCAGACGACATAGCACAACTGATAGCTAACTCCACTTACTTCACATACGACAACGCAATATACAAACAACTGGAAGGCTTCGCCATGGGTAACCCGTTATCAGCCACCCTGTGCAAATTTTTCATGGAGGACCTTGAACAAAAAGCCATAGCCACTGCCCCCCCAAACTGTAAAATAAAACTATGGAAACGCTACGTGGACGACATACTGGAAATCATACCGAAAGGACAAACAGAAACACTAACACAACACAAATAACATTGACGATACAGGCAACATAAAATTCACTTATGAGATAGAAACAGAAGGCAGCATAGCATTTATGGATATGAAAATCACCAGGCAGACCGACGGGACCCTAAACATAAACACATACAGGAAACCAACACACACAGACCAATATCTATTATGGACATCAGAACACCCTACCATACACAAAATGTCAGTAATCAGAACACTATATCACCGAACAAACATAATAACAGAAGAAAGAGACCGTAAACAAGAGGACAAACACATACAACACGCTTTAAAGACCTGCGGATACCCAACATGGGCAATAAACAAAGGAAAACGGCAAACAACAACAGAAAGAAAAGAACAACCTAAGCAAATAACCAGAAATCCAGAAAGACAAGAACCAAAACCAGTGATAACCCTACCATACATCAGAGGCATAAAAGAAAAAATAAGAGCAACAATGAAAAAACACAGCATAAACACACCAACAAAACCATACACAACAGTTAGAAACAGACTAGTACACCCAAAAGACAAAATACCAGCTGGACTTAAATGTGGAGTCGTTTAGGAAATTCCATGCAAACTCTGCAATACAACATACATAGGCGAAACCGGACGCCAACTCAACACACGAACAATAGAACATAGAAAGGAGTGCGAGAAGGAGGCAAGTCAAACACACAAGAGCAGCAAAAGAAGAAGCAGAAAGCACAATAAAGAAGTCAGCCGTAACAGATCACTGCACAAGAGAAAACCATGTAATGGACTGGGACAACACAAGGATCGTAAACACCGAACTACAAAAATACAAAAGATGGATCAAGGAAGCAATAGAGATAAGGAGACGTGGATGTGGGACCATGAACAGGGACGACGGAGTGTACACGTTAGACCGCGCATGGGACTGCATCGTCAAAGAGGGGAGAGCGGGCAGTAGAGGGCGACAATGTCCTCTGCTGCCCACGGATAAACGGAGAAGGAAGTGACGCTCCACCATCAGCGTCAGCCTGAAGAAGCCTGCAGCTGCCGGCGAAACGTAGCGACAAAACAGGTAAACAAAACTGTTTCTGTGTTTTAAAAAGAACGACAACATGGGACCCTCTCTAGTGTGTTAAAGAAATCACTGGTGTCAGACACAGCCTTGCAAGTGTGGCACAGCACCAAATTAAGTTCATGAGCATAGACACATCACTGCTGCTCCATCATATGCTTGTGCAACACATTTCAGTTCTTGCAATCCATTTGATTCTAACACATTTCTATGGTGTCTGCAATGGAAACCGCATCAAAGGACTCAAGGTTGGAAAGCTGAAGAAAACGCTCTTTCACTTTGTCATCAGACCCCACATAACGCACACAAACAGCAAGTTGCTCAACACGACCATCACGAGCTTCATCAGCCATCACTGCAAACAATTTTGAACGTTTCATCGCATTAATGATCCCAGCAGTAACCTTATCAGCACAACACTTGATCATTTCATTTTGTGAACCAGGGTAAAGATAGGTGGAATGAGAGGGTGCACTGTGGTCTTTAAGAAATGGGTCAAATTCCTCCAGGTAAGTCAAGAGCACCAGAAAATTCCCCCAGTTGCTTGAGGAATCTGTTTCATCATGGCCTCGGAAAGGCATTCCCTGTTAAGCTAAAAAGTATATTGTAGCCACAACACGACGAAGGTACTCTCTCCGTTCGGTGATCCGGTCAATGCTGGCCACATTTATTCGGTCAACCACACTGCCATTTGTCAAAGTTACCTTAAAGCCATTCCAGGCAAGCATTGAAACTTTGTGTCCTGCACAACTGTCATGCTCTCTGAAGCTGTCCAGTGCTCTTTTCCAGTTGGAAAAACCAACCATGCTAGTGATGCAGTCTTTTTTTGGTCGCCATGCCTGCTTTCCAAAGACTCTGCAGCTATTGCAGAATGCTGAATTTTGACTGATCGAATACTCCAGCCACTCAAGTCACACCATTTTTTTTTTTGGAATGACCGTCTCTGAAGTCCAAAGTTTGTGAAAGGGTACCCTCTAAATTTTGGTCTCTCTGGGCCTGTTTCCAGGGTTCCTAAATCGGTCACTCTGGCATCTTCTATCTCCACCTCTTTCCAACTTCCTGAGTCATCTGTAATGAAAATAAGACAGGAACAAGTTAGAAAATGATACACACCTGACTCAAAACAATGAAATTCAAAAGTATTTTTTTTAAAAGCTTGTTGTGAAATGTTACTATATAAATAAACTGAAATGAAAAACCATTGTAGCCAGTTCACTTGCTTAATGAGGATGATGGTTCTTCTGGTGGTGATGCAGCCACATCAACTGCTCCTGTGGCCTCTTCAGTCTGTAGGTCATCTCTCACAACCACTAAAAGATCATGACATCAAAATTAATTGTGCGAAGCTGAGAACTAAAAATACAAAAATAAATATCCTTATTGTTGTGTTTCTAACACTAGGTAGCAGCAGAGCATTACATGTATAAATGGAGGTGTAGAGAAAGAGCTGAGTTCTGCAACAAATGTACAAGATGCATGCTGCATGTTTGTTTCTCTTTCTTTGCTAAATTTCCAGATTGATAAAAAAAATACTGCCTGCTACTTTCTACTAACTACAAAACTTAACATTTAAGTAAATAATTGGGCTACATGCATTCAAAATGCATCAAGTGTATTACAAATCTGTTTAATTTGGTTAGCATGCTTCAGAACAAAAAAGGTGAATAACTATTACCAATCTCTATGGTTGATTGGAAGACCTCTGCTGCAGTCTCCTGCTGTAGCTCACCTTTGCGTCTTTCTACAGAAATATTAAACCAAATCAACATGAGCATTAAAGCAACAGAAAACATGCAACACAGATAATGATGCAATACAAGCAAATAGACAAAAACAACAAATCAGCATGTTGTTCTACATCCATTATGGAAACATTTCCCCTTTCTAAAGCTGCAAATTGTATGGCGTTTAAAGCGTGCCACAACCCGTGCACGCGCATTGGGTCCACAGCGCGCGTGTGAACGGGACTCGCGAGCGCAAATATACATGGCAGCGCGCGTGTGAACGGGACTCGCGCGCGTGTGAACGGGACTCGCGAGCGAAAATATACATGGCGAGAGGTCATTTGTGCACTGAGAGGGAGCAAACTGTGTCTGTGAGCGCACAAGGATGTGCACAAGTGACAAACCTGCATGCGCCCGTTGTCAACGAGCACACGGCAGAGGAAAACGTGCGCGCGCGGCAGCCTCTGTGCGCGCGCGGCAGCCTCTCTGCGCGCTCGGTTTCTGACTCCTGCTCGCTCGGCTGTAAGGGCTTTTGGCACTCTGGAGGCGTGGCCTGTGGCAGATCTTGTCTGTCCTCTGATTGGTTAGTTCACCCCGCACTTTACCCTCTATCTATATAAAAAAGTCTGATGTTCCGTAGTTGCTGGCATAGCTCAGCTGGGAGAGCGGGTGACTCTCGCCCCGGAGGATCCAGGTTCGAGTCCGGGCAAGGAGAATGTAGTAGACGTCATGTTAACTTTTCTTAATTTCAGGTATTTTACAGTTGTGACCGTTCAACTGTCATTAAACGTCCGAATGTTTGCTGGGCAGTGTTTTAAAAAGTGCACATAAGCTAGATGGTTTTAACCATATAAAATTACATTTTTTGTGATACTGGAAAAATACATACTGAAATAAAACTACTGATTGAAAACTTTATGACTGTGGTTGTACAATATATGACTCACTAATACACTGCAAACTCCCTTAGAGTGGGGCTTCCAGAGAGAGAGAGAGAGAAAGAGAGAAAGAGAGAGAGAGAGAGAGAGAGAGAGAGAAGTTCTTGCCTCATTAATGAATTGTTTATTTTTTTTCAGTATTTAATTGACAAATTATCCTTTCAAATAATTAATTGATGAGTTACATAATTGTCCATTTAGAATTGTTGAATGGACTAAGTCAAGTTTGGTGCACTTTATATATTTCAAAACATGTTTTTTTTTTTTATTTTAATGATGCATATAAATAATTTAAAT